TCCATAGCTAGGTTGTGTTCTTAATGCTTGAATGACAGGCGTCAATTTGCCTTTCGTTTCTTTGCATATTCAAAACTATTTAGAAAAAAATAACAATACCGACCGGATTTAGAATATGTGCTGTTCGCCGCACGTGTTCTAATTGCGATTATGGCGAAAAAATGTTTTTGTGCTAAAAGCTATAATGAATTATGTGTATATATGTATGTATGTATCTATTATGTTTAGCAAAAATCAAAAAACTCAAGTAAACACATTCTTAAGTCACATTTATCACTCAGTTGTCACTTCAAATATGGTTGCTATTGTTGCTCACTTCCTTTGACATTTCGAGCAAGAAATCTTTGTCTTACGTTAAACATACACATATATAAGAATAAGTATATATGCAAGTGCGCATTCTAAGGCATATTGAAGCAACAGGTAAGGAACTTTTTATCCGCTTCTAACATTTAATTACATGAAAAAAATACTAAAWGCCAAATCCCAATGTGTTGCCTGCGTGCTTGACGCTGTATTGGGGCAATTTGTGTTRCCTTTTTCTGATTTTTTTTATACTTCGGTGTAAGTTTTTCTCAYTCGTGGCTATTTCTGTGCCAAGTTGGGTAAATTTGCAGTAGACGGCAGGTAAATGTTATAATATGAATTTAAGAATATTTAAATGTTATTTCAATATTCAAGAAGTGTCGAAAGTTCTATTTCAAAATATGCTTTCTGATTCAAAACAGCGCATATTTTTTCTTCAAATTTGAACCACTCTTTCTATGTTAATGTACTTTTTGTATGAATTCAATATAATCTGCGCCAACTGAAAGAGCATTAAAGCGTTAAAAGTAAGTTTTACTCCTTTTAACTTTTTTATTTATTTTACAGTTTTTTTTTATATCATATTTGAAAAAAAAAATTTTTTTTTAATAAATATAAATACAATTCATTTTAATCACCTTTTATTATAAGTTTGACATTGAGTTTTCATCGAAACGCATTTTTATTTTTTCAGCTTTACTTAAAACACTCTTTAATAGCGTAAATGTTATATTTTATCTTCGATTTACCACCGCGCTGACATCAAAAACGACCACCGGCTTCGACGTTTCGTGCGCACTTGGTTCTTGTGTTGTTTCTTCGAAGCGTCGCAACGATTTTTTTCGTAAACTGTTGGTCGAAGCGATCTTTACCACAAAAAACTGGCCAAGCCGGTCTTTTTAGCAAGCGGCTCGTTATCTATTCATGAGTTTTTACATTTTTTACCTATTTATTTAAATGACGTTTGAAAAATATGCCTGAAAGCAAGTTTAATCTAATAAARCACATTGAGATCATATTCAAATTTGACGCACCACGGTGAGTCTAGAGGAAGTTTATTGTCTAAATTTATGCTAAAGATCGTACGAGCTGTAGCAGTAATTTGAAATTATTTAACGGGTGATCTGTGGTAGGGAAGATGAAGGAGAGGACCGTGGTTGAATTTTTAAGGCTTAAAATGGTTTATCCGGCTAAACTATGTGTTCCATAGAAAAAAGTTTTATGGGAATGAAAAACATATAACGTTTGTATAGACTTTATCGCCATAACCTCAAAATAATTGTGAAAAAGTGATTGCATTTTTCTTTCTAAACTATGTATTTTATAGAAAAAAAGTTATAAATACAAAGCAAGGTTGTAGGAAATGAAGAGATCTAGAACCTTTGTGTACAGACTTTTTTTACTTAACCTCAAAATGTATCAAAATTTATGTCAAAAAGTAAAATATCCAAATTTTTTCATACTTAATTTTCATCTTGTACAAAAAATTTTTTGTTCTACGTAATTTTGTGCAGAATTACCTGCTTGTGTTCCAAATAGACTGCATTTTTTTAACTTTCGTTTCCAATGGTTTTCAACCTACTATGCATTTTTTCCACTTTTTACCGTTCTTAAAGACTTCCGCACTCGTCCATATATTTTGTTGTCGCTTTAAGCTTTTTATCTTTTGAAGTAAGATAAAAATATTTACATAAATAAATGAAATAAAAATATTTAAAAACCCATTACTGAATGGCAACGCTGTA